TGCCCGAGGCCCAGGCTGAGGGATGCCAGGTCCCATGGGAGCCCTGATGAACAAGGCAGAAATGTCAATAGTCAGGAAGCCCAGTTCATAAGGACATCTGAAATTTTTGACACTTTCTTGGGCATTGTGAAATCCATAAGTTCAGCACAACTGGACTACCAATATTACAAGATTTTTGGCTTTCCCTGTTTCCAGTCAGGCTGTAATCAGGGAAAGCCAAATTCTGACCTCCTAACATCACTAATAACAGCAAGGGGAACAGGAAAAGAGACAGGCAAAGTTTGAATGCTCTTTGTAAAGGGCAATCACAGAGATAAACATACTCCTGGATTCTACAAAATACTCAAAATATAGGTGAAACTGTTACAGCTGATCTTGTTTGTTTGTCCCTGCTATCAATGAGTTAGCTGATGTCCTAACAAATATGATGAAGCCCATGAAAAGACTGAATGGTTAGATAGGACAATAGTTACTCCTTACTCTGTGAAGGAATCAACACCTTCAATATTTAAAATTCTAACCCTAAGCTGTTTGGGTTTCAGGGTGCTGTCCTGCTTTTAAACACTTTTGGACACAAACCAAGCTGAGCCTACTGAGTAGGAATAGCTTTGAAAACTTGGCTTGAAATGTGTCTTTGAAAATGTGGTTCACAGAACATCTGACAAGAAGGAGCTGAAAGAACTTTTGGAGCAGCTCGTTCTGACCACAGTTCAATGAGAATTACAGTTTCCCTGATACAGTTACCACTGCTTCAACTGACCAAATGGCCGGGTGGGCTGACTGAAGCAGTGAGCAGTCACTTGATGAGATCATAGAATCATAGAATCACAGAATGGTTTGGTTGGAAAGGACCTTCCAGATCATCTAGTTCCAGCCTCCCTGCCATGGGCAGGGACACCTTCCACTAGACCAGGTTGCTCAAAGCCCCATCCAACCTGGCTTTGGACACTTCCAGGGATGGGGCATCCACAACTTCTCTGGGCAACCTGTCCCAGTGCCTCACCACCCTTACAATGAAGAATTTCTTCCTGATATCTAATCTAAATCTTTCCTCTTTCAGTTTAAGGCCATTGCCCCTTGTCCTATCACTCCATGCCCTGTAAAAAGTCCTTCCCCAGCTTTCTTGTAGGCCCCTTTAGGTACTGGAAGGCTGCTCTAAGGTCTCCCCAGAGCCTTCTCTTCTCCAGGCTGAACAACCTCAACTCTCTCAGCCTGTCCTCACAGGAGAGGTGCTTCATCCCTCTGATCATCTTCGTGGCCTGCTCTGGACTTGCTCCAACAGGTCCATGTCCTTTTTGTGTTGGGGGCCCCGGAGCTGAAGGCAGTACTGCATAACACAGCAAGAACAAGTAAAGATGCTTCTGGATTTAATGCTTAAGCTACAGCCCAGCTGAAGTGTAAATACATCTGTTGGTTTCAGTGGAAGTTGGGTTATGACTTAAGTGAGTAACACAAACTTGGGTTTTGTCTCACGGCTGCTATGTCTGTTGATGAGAGCAGCTAGTAAGGAGGTCAGTAGAAATGATCGTTAAGGCTTATCTTTCAATTAGCGTGCTGAATGTTGGCATTAAAAGTGCATGAGTAATCTTTTAGTTGGACAACACATAACTACTCAAAACATACTAACAGAGAAAGTTCAGTGACACCTTTTCACTGACATTTCTACTTCCAGTGGAGAAGAAGTGAGGAGAAGATGATAAGGAGGATAGAAGTCTACAGAAAAGAGAGAAGGCCATAAAAAAGGGAATAAAGAATGTGTTGCCTAGTGAGCAATTGGGGACCCAGGTAAGATCAGATGTGATATTCAGGTAGAAGGTGATCGTGAAGCCAAGCAATCAGGGAATATTTCAAAGATCTCAGGAACTGAGACAATGATACTTTAATGCAGTTTCAGGGCATGACAAACCATTGGTCAATAAAGGTATGGTATTTACCTGCTGATATACTAAGCAAAGTTCACTGAGGGCAGCAAAGCAGCCAGAAGGACAGGACTAGAGATTCCTCTTTATATCCAAGCACTGGGTTTCCATGGGGAAGCATAGGCATGTTGATCAAAACAAACTACTTTTTACCAGAATTAGTTCAGGCAGGAAACAATATAGATTTCTCATTTAAAACTATTTGTACTTTGGAGGAGTTCTGGGAGGATGGAACTGCCAGGTTGGCCAAGGCTTCCAAAATGCCTGCAAAGCACTCTGTGAAGATCACTGCTATTACTGAATTATGTTATTATGCCACTGGTTCATGGAATTTACAAACCAGAATAAAAAGGACGAGGTGGAGGATTATGATGTATTTTAGAACTTCTTACATTTGACATGTTTCTTTTTTGAAAACATAGGAGGGAAACTGCTGGGTCACCAAATATAATTCCTGGGTCCTGCAGGCTATCATGTCACCTAAAGGATTCATCTCCTATCAAACTCCTTGAATATCTAATCTACATCTTTACTATTGTTAATCAGGATCGCTACTAATAATTTGCATTTACACACTACTTAAGGATCTTGAAGTGTTCTTTCATATAATATGCTCATTTTTATTACAGGCATATTGGATTTAAATGACTTGCCTAGGGTCTCACAGCAAGCCAGCAGCAGAATGACTGTTAGTGCTCCCAGTGCTTTGCATTAAATCCTGGACATTAACAGCTCCCTTCATAAAGGGAGCTTTGTAGTGGTAGATCACCTCCTGGTGCTGGTGAAGCAAACCTTTTATGATAGCGCAAACAAATCAAGAAATTACTTGAACCCATGTAATTCTTCCCAATGTCTGCAAATCCTGGCTTCCTTTGAACTTAGAAAACTGACACAGTTTGAGTAACGCTAAGATAGTCTTTGGCATATGACCGACTATGAAATTTTGATGTGCTAAGTATGTACCTCAAATCTATATTTTCTGTATGAATACAGCAGTAATCTCTAGATTTGTTCCAGGAAAACTTCAGAGCTTTCACTATCCCCTGTGCTGTTGGAGGCATATTTGAAAACAAACAAAAAAACCAACCCAAAAAGGAAGCCTACAATAAACAAAAATCCTTAATTTCTCTAGTGGCAGAATTGTCTGGAGACAGGCACATTCGTTGCCATTCCTGTCTCCTCTGAATGGCACTGTCATCATCAAAAATTAACTCTAAAAAGAGGATATGGGGCATCTCTTTGTTTATGGACTCCTTTCTGTCAAGAAAGATGCAGTACCACAGAATGACCTGATTTGTCTGCCTGTGTCAATGTTATCACTCTCTTGCGCAAATTGAAATGTTGGTATTTCACCCTACATTTTGCCCTCTCATCTATGCCTCCTATGGAAAGGGCTGCAAATTGTACCCAATGATTTCAGGATATGATTTTCAGGCTTTTGCCTGTGGCATCTGTTTTTTTCTATGAGAAAAGAGCTATTTTGTGGCATGGCACTTGCTATAACATCAGAGGAACCATCTGATAGAACACCAACAGCTACAGCAATACTGATCCCATCATTGAAAGAGTTCCTCCAACATGGTGGTGGCTACCCAGGAGATCTCACCTGTGGCAAATGGTGACATTTACTCCTGCTGGGAATGTGGCTGGGCAGCTGAATGTTAAAGAGGGCCTGCAGGGCCGCCTGTGCTGCTTGACCCTTGGCCAGCTTCTTGCTACGTCCTGAGCCTTCAAATGTTCTCCCGTCCACTCGCACTGCCATCACAAAACTCTTGATGTGCTGCTTCTCCACCGTCTCCGACAGGCACACATACCGCAGGCCTGACCGCAGCTCATTTAGCAGCACCACTGGGTTCTTCTCGCTCTCTGCTTTGGATGCCATCTTGTGCTTGTTTTGCTTACCGTGGCCCATTAAGTCCAGGGTATGGCAGAGTAAGCGCCTGTGTCGATAAGCAGTGGAAAGCAATTCATTATTAACGGGGTTGTAGACTGAAAAGTCCTCGCTGTGTGTAGATGGTTCGAACTCCTTGAACAGAGTGTCTGGAAAGTCTGCCTGATCAGAAGTGAAGTCCGTGGATGGGTTGATGCAGTTCCCCATGGCAAAGTGAGCTTGGCAGGCATTGGGGAACTGAACGAATGACTTCAGAGCTAGCTCTGCAGCACGCATTTTGGCTTTCTTTTTTGTGGGCCCTGTGCCTTCAAACGTAAGTCCATTTACTTCCACAGCAACAGCAAAGACTGGAGCATGCACTGGACCCGTCTGGGAAACCATTTTATACTGTAAACCTGGTTTAAGTTCATGTAGCTGAACCAGAGCATTCTTTGGTGTCACTGACCACGAGACTTTCTTCCAGATGAGCTGGAGTTTGCAGAAATGGCCATTATTGCCTTCCTCTAAAGGTCTTTTTCTCTTACTACTAGGTGTTCCCCCTCTTGCCCTCTCATTAGAGGATATTGGATGATCCTCCAGGTTGCCAATGTTTCGATTTTCCTTTACTTCTGCACTGCTGGTACCTGTCAGTAAAGAAAGAAAAAAACCCTCACATTACAGTTGTCATCACAGTAGCTGACATTATGCCTAGGGCTGGCAGAATAGCCTAAAAAGAAAAAAAAGCTCAATGATAGATTTCCTTGCTCAGCCCTTTTTGGCAGTTTTCCTCAAATATCTGTATAATGGTTGGTTTATTATTTATAGCACAGATTTTCTGCATGTCCTGAGTGTTTACTTGTCCCTAAAGTTTTACTTGTATTAGTCACTAGCCTCCTGTTTAAAAAAAAAGATTACATCATTCAAAGATGAAGCATAACTGATGCCGTGTGACGTAAATGAACTACTGCATTCACACTGTATAATTACTAGTAAAAAGTGAATAGTTTGCAAAGTCCCTTTAGGCTGAGATTTGTTCTTTAATCCATATGGGTGAATGCTTATGAACACATTGTTAGAAATCAGAAATGATTCACAAATGATTCACAAACAGAAAAATGGGCAAATGCATTGAGTAATCTGTTTGCAATGAACACATTGACTGGCTCTACTTACAACATAGGTTCTTGTGTTGCTAACATGAATCCAGCCTAAGAAATGATCTGACAGATCTTCCTAGCATTTGAAACAATAATTTGGTCTGGAGTCAGATTCCAGTTTAATAAGTGAGCATCTTTCTGTCAAATTCAACTGCAGATACTCTTAGCTCCTGCATCAGCAATAACTATTATTGCAAAAATTCTAGATAAATCTAAACGAAACTAGGAAAAGCCAGAGCATCATGATGGGAGTAATTACTGATGTAAAGAATGATCTAGGTCAAAGAAAAGCAATGGGAGAGAGTGACTGCCAGGAGTGCCAGGAAGGGAATGAAATGACAGTGGGGAGCTATGGAAGAAGCACTCTCTTGTTGTTGAGCCAATGAATCACACATTGCTCTGAACTACACTTGTGCACCGCCCATGCTGCGAGGCAGTGCTCTTTGCTACAGCAGTTGCATGACGGAGAATGGAGATTCATCTCACTGATGTCCTTGGTGAGACAGAAAATGTGCTGCTGTCTAAATAAGCATCCTATAATATTTCTGTCATTTCTGATGAGTTTGCTTAAATGTATCACATCTCTGATACGTGCTCCAGTCCTCTTGTGCATTCCTTAGGGCAGAGACAAGTTGAGGAAGTAAACATGAGCGTAACCAACCCGTGAAGCAGCCCATCCCTGGAGCAATGCAGCTGATCCCTTTCTGAGCAGAGCACTGCCTGGCTGCCTGCTGTGTTCTGACCAGCATTGAGCATGGATATTTTCCCATGGTTTGTTATTGTCAGACACAAGCATGCCACCTGTGCAGGCTATGTGAGTCCCAAGCACACGGAAGGTCCCTGTGGTCCTTAGAGGACAGAGAATGGTCCTCATGCTTTCTGCGGGGCCATGGCCATGGACATATTTGGTTTCTTCTCTACCCTGATGTACAAGCTGGATGCAAGGATGTAAAGGATGAGCTGCCAGCTATGTCTCGAGGAGCTTCTGCTGGAGCCACGTGTCTTTGCTGCAGCCCAGTATTAGGCAGGGTTGACAGATGCACAGAGGCCTGCACAGAATTATGTGGAACCAACCATCATGATTAAAAACCTCCTTTATATCTTGATGAGTTGCACTTGTGTTAAATATCAAAAGACTTTTTTCCACCAGAGCAATAGGTCTGCACTCATGCAAGTTGTTCCACAGAAAGCAGCTCACTGCTTAGACATGAGTAAATATCATGGCTCAATTGTACGTGTGGGGGCCCATTTGCAGGACTGAGTCTTTAGGCTCCCTTTCGTGAAAACCGTTCAGCACACACTGAGCTTCCAGCCTGTCTCTCTGTCTCACCAAAGTTACTTGCAGAGCTATGTGCTGCAGTGCTTTGCTGAGGCAGAACGTGAACTGACAAATTAAGGTCTTAGTGACTAGTTAATTTTTAGTTTCTGAAGCTATGGGGAGAGAATGAAGACAGGTGAGGGAATGAAAGAAAAAGAAATACATAATAGAAAAAGAAAAGTTTCACCATTCAGCTGTATAAAATATGACATCTTTAAACCAGCCTCTCTGGAAATAAGACATTTAAAAGGTCAGGTTAACTAAGACACAAGGATAATGTGGTCTTTTCTCATTGAGTTCACAATTCTATTTATGGAAACTCTGATCTGAGGGGGAAGAAGATGCCAACTTTAACTTTCCTCTATTTAGCCTGGTAGTGGCTTTGGTCAGCCATTTTCCACCATGACCCTTTTTCATGTTTCCATCCCACTCAGAGTTTGCCTCTTTGGTTGCGTGCATTGTTTTAAATAAAGGTGAAATATTTTGACTCAGACATACTTTTTAGCAGGAAGCAGGTTTGGTTCTGTATTTCACACCTCCTCTCTCATCTTACCTAATAGGTTTTTACAGAGCCAATTATGGTACATAATGATATTGTAGTCAGGAAGCATGAAAAGAAAGATAGCTTTTGTTTCACACAATATTCAGGTTTGAAAAGAATTTGTATCGATTATGTACCACTGAATAGGAAAACTCAAGGGGTTATTTGTATTTATAATTCATATTGTCTTATTCCAGTTGTTTTTTCTTTCATAGTCAGAGAACCAAGGATTTCTGAACATGAATGTGTGACCTTAACATCTTACCTTAATCACCCTCACTCAAACAGTGGTTAACTAAAAACATGGCAACATATAATAAACTTTATTTGTTTGTCTTAAATTCTGTCTATGGAATTGTCTAGTCCAGGTTTTAGCCAACAGGGAGTTTTTTCATTGATGCAATGAAAAAAAAATGCAGAGATGCAAGTGTAAAACTTCCAGAGGTCAGGCACAAAGGATATGTGGACAGTGCCGGGTATGCACGACAGCGACGTGCCTGTATTTAAGGTACGTTTTGGCCTAGTCACAGCGAAGGAAATCCATGCCAGTATCCTTACATTCAACCAGACTTCTAGAGGATCTGATCCTGAAACACCAGGAAATCGCTCAGTTTTTCACAGACTTCAATGAGAGCTGCAGCAGGCCAAAAGTCATCACGACATGTAAATCAGAGGCAGCCTAAATTCACTGAATGCCTCAGAAAGTCTGACAGCCTGATGGGCTTGTGTGATACCTGGTAGCTGCCAGGTAATGTGAAATTACTTTATACTTTCAGGTATCTTTGAAATAGGAGGTCTTTGAAATGTGTCTTTTATGAGACCTCTGTGTAGCAGACATAAGATTACCTCCCTAATGGTGGCACATGTACTTCTATTGTGAAAATCAGACAAAGCAGGCAAATGACACCAAACTACGTAAGATAAATACTGTAAGCAGCTGTAATAGAACAATCATGAGCAATTTTAGAAATGAAGAGCACTAAAAGGAAAGGGGTAAGTCGGAGGATGCACACAGGGAAAATTCAAAACTGCGGATCATTTTCAGTCCTGTTATCTCTCATAATGTGTTTGCTCTTGAGTTCCCAAAACACATTCTCTACCTTTGGAAAAAAAAAAAAGAAGATAATAAAATATGGTTCTCCTATGATGAAAGGTTGGAGAATAACAAAATTGTAAGGGGAGGGAATTAAAAAAAAGGAGAAAGAAAAATATTACAATATTTTGGCAATAGTTCTGTATTTATTGTGTAAGATTTCTAAAAAAGCCCCACAACTCTACACTGTAATATCCTCAGTTAACTTTATTGATTGATTTTTGCAGTTTCACAAGCAAGAGGAGACATTGCAATCTTGTATTTGCTTCAATACAGTAACTGAATGGAAGAGAGGAAAGCAGTTAGTGAAATATATTTATTTATGCACTATTCCTCAATCTTCTGTCTGCTCTTTCATGTTTTTCTTCTTTTGGTCATTATGCACAGTAAAGTTAACCTAGAGTCTGCATCATCAAGAGGTTTTCAGAACTATAATGCATCACTAATAATGACACTGCCTATATCTCTGGGTCATAAGGGCTCTGCAGAACTAGCCATCCGATACTCCACGCTACATTTGAAGAGATAATGTTGTTCCTGTGGAAGGTTATTCTGCTGCCAAGCCAACTTCCAGGGAGGATGGGAAAGGAGAGGTGGTAGGTGCCATCTTCGTTTTGGTGGACATCTTTACTATTGAATGACTAGGGGCAGTACATTACCGAAAAGCTATGATATTGAAAGAAAGAATTTGCAATCTCTGTAGTACAGCAAACTTCTGATTCAACTGATAGCTCTGACACAGGAAGTTACTGTCTTTAGAAATATTTAGTAAATATCAGATTGCTGCCAATACATTTTCAACAATACAGGTAGGACTTAACTTTTATTTTTCTGCTTTTTAATATCTAACCCCTGTTTGATCTGGTTATTTAGCATACATTTTTGCTGTCCATCTACATCACATTGACTGCAGAGGTTGGAAGGATTGACCTCCATAATTCCTGGCATACTTGAAAATGAAAAATTTTAAATCAGAAGCAACAGGTATGAACCCAGGAACCAGAGCTACGGTACCTTTGTGCAAGGTCAGCTACCAAATCAAATGCAATATAAGGCAGTTTCCTCTTGCAAGCCAGATGGCATTTTCATAGACTTATTGAATCCACAAAGGAGGATTGGGAACTTTTCTGCTTGGATTTTTAGGTTTGTATTCTTGATTTTAGAATAATAAACTTGTAGCTAACAACAGAAATCATTGCTTCCTCTCTTACATGAAAACACACAGATATGTATTTTTAAAACTTCATGAAAGAAGCCTACTTAAGGGAAACCTGCCATGACCTCTCTGTTGCTGCTGAATCCTCCCCGCCAGCTCACAAGGTTCAGGCTGTTTAAAACAGTATCGTTAGACTTTATTGGTGTGTAACACCACACTGTGAAGGGAAGCATCGCCAGTGCAAAAAAGTATAGGACTTTGCTTAAAGCAAAGATGGAAAATTTGTGAAAGGTGATAGCCATTGTCTTTAGCTGATCCAGAATGAAGATACTCTACTTTGCCCACCTTATTATCTGAAATAACTGTGAAATCCATGCACATCCACTACTGCTCTTACCAATTAGGGAAATTATCCAAATGACCTAATGACCTGACTTAGATGATACTCTAATGTTTCCTGTTCAAGTTACCAAATAAGTGCATGCAGCAAAAAATGTGGGCAGCCCACAGCAGAACTGGATCTAAGTACATACCTTCCTGAATCAAGACCAGACTATAGCTTAGCTTTAGGCATTGGAGAAATCCAACTGATGGCAATAGACACAGTTTTCAAAACAAAAACAGGGGAGTTTATTCTGTGGGGGATTGCTTGGGGCTCTGACTGCTGTAAGGGGATATTCGCTGTCTTCTTAGAGGCAGAGTCCCTGCTGTATCTCACACTGTGCAATCAAAAGCTCTGGGGCCTCATGCTGCCTGAGGAGGAATTCGATTGACATGCTCATAACTGAATATACTTCAATACACTGAATCTGGGATTCATCCTACAAGACTGTTGCAGTGGTTAAAATCCATTTGTTGGGGACCATCACCATCAGCTCCCTCTGCAGACACAGGGGAGAGGTATATGCCTGCAGAAGGTGCTGCACTGAGTCTGTGCATACGGCAGCATTGCACAATGAGATCCCCAGGAATCATACACTCCTGCAGGAGGTACACTATAGATTTGCAAGTATCTGTGTCTGCTGATAGTCTGCCTTGATGCCGTGACATAGTGTGGATGGAACGATTAAAGATCAGGGACAGGCAGAGGTCTGTAATATCATGAAAGGTAGGCAGGAAGGCAGTGAACAGAGAATGATTATTCACTGTTTCATGCAATCCAAGCACTAGAGACAGCAGGCTCAAAGCAATAAAAGGGTGCACTTTTTGACAACACACTAAATCACTCCCTGTTCCTGGCTGTTGTTGAGATCAGAAGTATCGGCGGGTTCTGGAGAAGACTAGACAGGTCTGTTGATGTCTAAGAAATATGACGATTCAGGTGCAAACTCTAGATGAGTAAATTTTTTGCTGGGTGCTAGAAAGATATACAAAGGGGAAGATCCCCATTTAACTGTCCTTTTTCTCAATGCATTACTAACAGCAAATGTTGAAGACAGTGTACAGAGCTAAATTTCCTATTTCTAATCCTGTGTGACATTTCTTACATTCTTAGCTACAACTGACTTCAGGGAATGAATAGGGTGGTCCTTTTCTCGCATGTTCAAGATAAGGTCTTCATTAGAGACTGATGATTACTTTACCCAAAATTCCATTCCAAAGGTGCACAGTGCCTTCGACACATTTTTCTAGTATTAGTTCATGGATCGCAAATGAAAATAATAGCGTTTATATGCTAATAATCACCAGTTGAAAAAGTATGTGTAGTTGACATGGCACGGCTCCCTTTGTAAAGAAGTCCTAAAGGAATGTGAAAGAGGATTTGTATCCATTTCAGCTAGTGGGGCTCTGCCTATTGATACAGCACTGTCCAGGCAGGGGCACTCGCACAGGATGCTCAGTGAACAGAAACCTATAGGGATAAGCAAAGCACTTGTCTACCTTGCCAGCATTCTCCTAGGCTCTTCTTAAAACGTTAACACAGAAGGTTCCTCTGCTTGTTCAGAGCAAATCACTGAAGCTCTTTAAAATGCCGAATTATTGCACAGGTACATGTGTGCTACAGACATTAACGGGATTTATACTGCTGTACTAGAAGTGAACACTGAAATATGGTTGATTTTAAATTAATATCTTTTTTTTTTTTGAGATTCTAATAGTAACATCTAAAATGTGTTGTATGTGTCAAGAAACAAATCACTGCTTTATCACTAAAGTGTATGTTTGACTCAAGAGAGGACTAGGCAGGATGATCCTGAAAACAGTGAAATTTGCCACTTCTCTTGCAGAAAACAGCTTACCCTTGTCCATGTGAGCTATTTTAAAGCCCATGCAGGCACGAAGCAGTCTTGGCATTACAGTAGCAATAAGAAAATGGTGTTACAGTCTTTGGCTTGTACAAACTTCCTACATTACCTAAAAATAACTAGGTACCGCATTTGTGAACATTACGCAGGAGGTGCCTGCACAAGCTCATCATGTGCATAATATGTTTCTTGTGTGTACTTCTCATATCTCTTCCTGAAAATGTAGCCTCCCTGGGACGATTTTTGAAGGATTTTCAGGATTTTTTTGCCTTTGCTAAGATATGTAAAAACCTGCCAGTCCCTGTGCAGCAGAATGGTGTGATGTCCTTGCAATACTCAGCAGCAGAAAACAGAGGGCTGTGCTCCTTCACTTCTTCAACAGCTGCACCCTTGGTGCTGCACCGTGATCAAACCAAGGCAGATTAGCAGCAACAGGGAAAAAAAGCAAAACACATTCCTCCCACCAAATGGCTCTAATAGGGCAACGTGTCAGTGTGTGTCTGGCTGGAAAAGAAACCCATCTGGTAAGTGATACTGAAAGTCCAAGAGTTGCTGATTTGGTTCAGAAAGCTTCCCTCTCTGTTTTTAATGATTCGAAATGTGTTAGAACAAGCAGGGCTGGATAACACACAATAATTTCTTCTACGTGATAAATGGGAGGGTTTACTGAAGGTTATTCAGTCCTAACAGTGTAGTCCCAGACTTCACAACTCCTTCAAACCCAGCAGCACTTTCCTCCAGCTCTGCAGTCAAGGGTTCAGGGAGTGTCAGTGACATTGTTCAGGTGTAAGGGTCCAAGAGAATTTGGTGGCTAATTTTTGGGTTACATCTAGTTTATTTAAGCCTGGTTATTCATCTTTTCTCAATTGGATTTTGTTTCTTTCTTTCTTTCTTTTTTTTTTTTTTTAACTTTTATTTTTGTTCTCCAGGTCATACCACAGAAGTAAAAGAGAAAACAGTTTAAGTAGATGGCTCAATCCTGCAGTCTTTACTTTTGTGAAAGTCCTTTTATAATCAAGGAAATAAAAACAGGGGGAAGACGGAACATCAAAATGTCCTGTTTTTTAGGGATTGTGAGAAAAGCAAGTGAGCAAAATAAGGTAACATAAACAGGAAAGGAAAAGGAGCTCCACAGTCCTTTAAATCTGAGTGTAAACATCTTTTTGTAAGAAGTTTTTGCTTTGTATTTGTGACGAACCGTTTACAGCTCCCCCTTGCCAGGGTCTGCACAGGGAAAACTTGGAAGGCGAGCTGAGATTAACCCCTCCTTTGCTGGAGATTGGAAAACATGTTTGCATTTAGCATCGGAATTTTGCATTTTACATGTGGGCTGGGCTTATTGTCTGCCAATATTTACAAATCCACCTCCTTTCTACACTTCCCCCTACACTGTAGAGCTTTTATTTTTGAACTTTATTATTCATCTGTCTATAGAGAAGAGAGACTGCTTACTTAAATTGTCTTCATCCTCCATGGCGGTTGCGCCAGGACTCAGGTACTTGAAGGGTGCTATAAAGGTTGACAGTATGCTTACTTTTTCTAGAAGAAAACAGAAGAAAATATACATATAAAATCAGTACATTCTGATCTACTCCACACTTTTTCTCAGGTCAAAACATCTTGGCAAGTCTGTTTCTTTTTTGCTTGTCGTGGCTCTACAGTCTCACAAAAGTTCACTGAAGTGCAATGCATTTGCTACAGCTGGCACATGCAAATACCAAACACACAATCCTCCTGGTTTCTGCCCCTGTGATGGGTTCCTTGGCTGTGCTTCCCAGAGATGGTGCCCAAGCACTGCAGAGCTGGGAATGCAGGATGCTTGAGACAGTCCAGCTGAGAACGAGGGAGGCAGTCAGCCCTGGGAGAAGGGACACAAGAACTGCTCTAATGGATGAAGCCATCAGCGCATCTCTTCTTGCCTCCTCTCCCTGACAGAGGCTGAACCAGAAGTCTCAGAGAAAGCTCAAGATGGCACAAGAGACTACAACGGCTTCTAATTCTATAAAATGTTGATTTGATTTTTGGAAAACCTTTATGGTGTGCACAAGAAGTGTTATCCAAACGGTAAGAGTACTATTTGAAATCCTTCTTATTCACATTCATATTAAGTGCAGTTCCTTCTACCTGCTGTTTCTGTTTATCCTGCAGACAGTAGATGGCACAGACATTTACTTCCAGTGCCACGATCAGCCTCTGCATTAAATGCTAGGATGAATTCAGCAAAATGAAAACTGATACTGATTTATACTAGCTCAAAATTTGGCTCAGGATTTATCTATAGGGAAAAGTTGTTGTTAACACAAACACTAGAAACAGTGATATATTGAAAATATGTGTTATTTAGTTTGATAACTAGTTTATCATCTAGTTTGTCATTTAGTTTCTTTACACTGAACTTCCCCTGACAAACTATGGGTACTTTGCTGGGGACCAACATTAACAGAGTGTCTTTAGGTAGCAGAAGAAACAGAAACAGAGCTTACAAAGGTGATTAATAGCTTTGAAGGACTTAGTTGCTTTCCTAAAGTACTTCTCTGCTTAGAAAGCCTCAGTTAGGTGGTAACACTCTGAATCCTCCACATTGTGAACTGTGTTGGGCTTTCTTCCTGTGCCAGGAGCATCAAAACCAAACCAAGAATGTCTTCTTTCAAGTGACACAAGAAAGATTATTTCCATGGGGACTTTCTTTATTGGTGAGAAAATATTCCTCTGAATTTCCTTAAACTACCACTGATCTGGAGGGCATGCCAGCTGAAGAGCTCTTAAACTTTTTCAGCAGCACGTCTGTTAGCTTGTTGGACTGATTCTTCTTACATTTGCAAATAATCCTTGCTCTTGTTAAAGACTTACCAGAATCCATCAAAAATGACTGCATATGTTTGCCCTTAGCTAGGTAACACTACAGCTCAACTCTACTATGAGAAATCACAGTAAAAGCTGACTGGTCTTTGTTAAATAATACAATAAGCAGAATAAAAGATTGCCTGAAGAAAAGCCTTTTCCATCCAGAGGCCTTTCAGCCCGACAAATATATAATTAGAGCACAAATTAGCCTCCTTGAACTGCAATTTCATTAAGGAATTGTAGTGATGTCACGAACCAAAAGAATGAAGCTATTTATGAATGCTTTAGCCAAAAGATTTTCCTAAGTGAATACTTTGACACTTTTTTGCTAAGGCATTGCTCACTGAGAAATGTGATATCTCTGTACAACACTATCTCAGTGTGTGTGAGACTGTCAGATCTCTCCCAACCGGTTTCTTTGATTAATGTGAAAAGAGCGTAGGCTTTTGGGACCTAATCCAAAGGCTGCACTTGGTAAGGGGAACGCTTCAGATGCTAGACGTAGGATCAGGGCAGACCTTGGCTTCAGCACCACCAACAACTGTTGTGTCTGGATACTGGGATTCAATGAAGTGTACTCTGCTTGTGCCTGACTGCTGACGGCTGTCAGACCTTCAGGACCAACCCTCAAGACATTGGATGTCGTATACAAACTTAAAGCTTCTTTGCTGAGAAAATAGTCTCACTTCTCACAGAGAGATGATCCATTAATCAAGCAATGAGGACATATGCTTTCTTGCTGAGGTTGCTAATGCTTTCTCCTACCAGCAATCAGAAAGTAAACCCATGTAGTTTTATACTATACTATTATTAGGCAAAGGGATATTCTATGATTTATCTTTCACCCCAACCAATTTTGTACATCAATAGGAAAGATGTACAATGTGGACTTAAAATTTATCAAACTATTTTCCCTTTTGCCTTAAGAGACCCTTTAGCCATCTTAAGCTTTTGTTGTTACTGTTTCCCACCTGTCCCCAAAGACCTTGCTGGTGCCTTTGCTTTGTGTGGCAGAGAAACGGGTTAGCCTGTAAAATTTACTGCACTCTTAGAGCAGCAATGTCAACCAAACTCAGGCAGGCTCTAATAACAGGATATCCTTCAATCAATACAGGTGATAAAGATTATAATTTAATATTTCAATCCATTGGTTGAGCAATGGAAGATTTAGTGTGTCTGGAAGGAAGAGGAGGGCAGGGTTTTTCAGTGAGCGATGTAAGAAGAGAAGAGTCGTAGTATGCACGTTGTACAGATGAATTACTGAGCCTATGGAGGAGGGGAAAGTACATGACAGGATAATTAAATGTAGGTGTTTACAGGGAAATAACCTGACCAGGTATAAAACTATTGGTATGATTGTGCACCTCCATCTTTTGCACATTATTGCCTATTACCCTGTATATACATCATAGGACACTAATTGAGCTTTATTGTCAGTGGTAAAATTCAGTCTTATTTTTGTTTATCGTTTCAGAACAAGATTAGGAGAGCTGTGTATTCACACTTTACAATGCCTCTGTATTTTAATGTCTATCACAATTAGCCAAATTTCTAGCAGTTTGGTGAAACCTCTGGATATGAAAAAGCCTTGCAGAGGAATAGCTTTAAAATCTCCTTTTTTCTTCGCTCTTTTCTCCTTCTACAATTTTTTTTTTTTCCCAAAAAGAAGAAATGACAGGTAGCCCAAAATTACAGTGGCTATTTTTACTTTATAATTGTAAATGTTATTTGTATTTGTCTGAGGAAATTATTTTTCAAGACTAGGAGAGAGAGTCTGAGAGAAGAAAACAAGACTTTTCAGAAACTCTTTTCTCCAGAAAGGCAGAACACATAACCCTACATTTATGACAACAAGGAGCTATTATTGCTTGCATTATAATTGTACCAAAAGCCTCCAATGACATGAAGGAGTGATTTCATGAGGGTACACATGGACACAAAGGAAGCTGTATTGACAGTGGAAATTGAGAGACAAAGAGCAGATATAGTGGGATTTATTTCTAGCCACCCTGGCACAATAATGCAAGATGAGAGCATCATATTTTGTAGCGTATTCACGATATAAACATCCTTCCAAGTGATGCTCCAGTACTCTAAGAACAAACGTCACCATTTCTCCTGATGGGAAGCCCATTTTAGGAAGAAACTTCACTCTCCTCTGTTTTGGGATGGAAAAGGATTTCAGTTCACACTTCTTAAGTATATATTTTCCAACAACAGCAAATAGTTAAAAAATAATCATGAACACTGTTTTGACTGTAGCCATATAAACATATAGACAGTAGCCATTTAAAGAAATAAAAAAAACCATCAGCCAAGATATTTTTTGCATGAAAAACAGAAAACAGTTTAGCCCAAATGATTCAACCAAGCTTGGCATATGAGGCAGCCAAGTTTCCACTAAAATCTGCTCTTTCTGTGAAGTTGCTCTTGTCCTGCGGATGCAGTCAGAAGACTGGTCACAGGTCCTGTAAATACGCTTTTATTGTGAAGACAAGAATACATATATAGAACTAAAACCATCATTTGTGCCCTTCATACCTATCAGTATTTAAAGGGCACCAGACAATACGGCTTGATCATTAACTGTACTGAAGTTCTTTCACACTCAATCACTGGAACAAAAGCAATGGGAATGGCAGGAGCTCAACACTTTTAAAAATCAGGCCTTATACGTTGGACAAATTGTTTAGCCTCAAGAACAGCAGTCTGAGTGGGGTTATAACAACAGTCTTCAAATACATAAAAAGCTGCTGCATAGAAGAAAGGAGTAAACGGTATTCCATGTGCATTAACACAACTAGAGGTAATGGACGTAAATTGCACCAAGGAAAATTCACTTTAGACATGAAAAAACCTTCCTAACAGTAAGGATTGTGCAGTGCTGGAATAGATTGTCTAGTGGGGAGGTTTAGGAGCTGTTGGTGCTGAAGCGGTGTAGGATGATGGTTGGCATCTGCAGGGTGTTGCACCTGTCCTTGGGCCCATCCCTTAGAATCTCTCCTATCCCTGTGGACCCCAGTAGAAAAACTAGTCCTGATCGTGAGATCACAGAACAGGTTTCAGCTCAACCTTGGAAAACCAAGTAGTGTTTGCTAATATTAGCTAATCTCTGAGCAGAAGCTTGTGGCATGCTCTTTTGCTTGGCAGCTAATGAGCATTATTAATAATTGTTTTTTTAAAACGCAACTTCTGAACACAAGAAGGATTAGACAGATGGCTACCAGTGGTTTGCCAGATCAGCATTAGCAATGTTTTCAATGTTTTACTGAATCAGTTTCTTTTTCATATTCTAATTGATTACCATAAGCTTTACTTGTCAGAGTTTTCTTTAATAGTATTCTTTTAAAACCACAATGTGGACATTATAAACCACTCCTAAGTAATTTGTTTGGTTTACATGGAGTATGAAATTACTCAGGAAGGGTCAATTCTAATGCAATAATGTAAACTCAGCTGCAAAACCTCTTGAAAAAAACCTTATTTTTATTTCTCTAAAGCAGTATTTGCAGATAGTCAAACGGTTACGTTTCTACAGTTGTATTAGCCTTGATTTATTTTGAAAGAGGGGGATACAGGGAGGTAAAAGAGCCTGTACATCAGGAGAAGATTCTCTATCTTCCTTCTCATATCTTAGTCAGTTCAGGCTTGGGCTGACAGTGATTGACAGGACAAGGGGAATCTTTACACAAAAGAAAAATATGGCAAATTTGCAGGGAAAATAGCAATGTCTTTAAACCACAGCACTTACTGAGAAGGGCTCACAGTCTTCTAAATTATGGCTTGTACAACCACCACGCTGCATCATTTAGTTTAAGCAGCCAGTTTCCAGATAGGGATTTACTTGATTGGTGTTAGAATCAGGCCTTACAGCTGAATTTGATAACCAGCCTTTGAGTCATGAGCTATCGAGAGTGCAGGGCTGCAGTGACATTGCCCAAGTGCTTTTTCCTTCACAGGCAAGTGGGAAGGCTCTGTGCAATGCTCTTTTATACCTGCTCTGACAAAGCTGTGCTGGGGTGCCTGTGAATGACCACCATGGTACCCGTGGGGCTGGGAGGACTGTCTCTGTCCATCCCCTCTAGCCATGTTTAAATTAGAAGTGTGGCTGCCCTAAACACCTTCAGAGGGCTGATGTTTCTGTATAGATACAGCTCTGGCACAGCTGTGTGCCTGATGCAGGAGTATCGGTTTGGTGCCTTGCACAGGATGAATTCAAGCCTGCATATATTTGCAAGGGACTATTGACACATGCTCATCCCTCCTTGGTTTGCATTTTGTTCTCTCATTCTCACACTACGAGGCCTGAAGGTGAAGCCTTGCTGGCACCATGAGCTCTTGAGAGCCATCGATCAATGCAGTCAGAGCAGCACATCTAACTGAGCAGCCCAAGGAGGGGGGAAGAGCCTGTGTACTGGAGGATATTAAAGGGTTAAAATATGTGGGACTGTTCCTGTCTGCAGATATGCTGCTTGGCGCCCCTAAGAGTGTGGCCTCTGAGGTGGACAGTTACTACAGATCTGCTTTTTAGAATTGGTTTTCAATCCAAGGCATTTGCAGTGATATCCCCAACCTGGCCCACGTGGGAACAGTAAGGAAAGCTTTTATTGGAGGTAGCAGAGGAATATGCTGAGAGAAAAACCTTCTGGTTTTTTGATTTTTGCCTGGAACATTTTTCTTAAATGCAGGGAGACAAGGGACTACTCAGATTAAGGAATTTAGGTTTTTAAAGAAAAAAAAAAAAGTATTCAGCATTACTGTTTTTTGTTCTCTGCATCAGCAGGGACCTGAAATGAAGATGTAAAATATCAGAACACATTTTTTTCTTGTCTGATAACCAAAGGGAAGACAAAACCAGGGAATATTGCGATAGTCAGCGTTTCAGGCAAAGGCTTTCAGCTGCACAAGGCAGGCTGTACCTTGAACTAGAAATCAGAGGCGTGAACCCAGAGCCATGAAGTCTTCCTCTGAAATAGGGCACGAAGCTGTTCAGTATGATGCAGCACCCAGGAACAAAGGCACCTGCCCCTGTGCCTTGCCTGGAAGTTGATCATGACCTGCCAAGTGCAGGGGTCTGCTGTAAATAGATCTACTCGCTGCCTTTATAATTTATTTATCTGGGTCTTGGGGCAGAGAATATCTTTCTGCTCTATTGTTGTTCAGTGCTTAGCAAAATGGTATCCTTGCCCAAGACGAGAGCTTTGAAATGCCATTATATTAAATAGCAATAACAGCTTATGGCATTATGATACTGCAGCAATACTGAATGTGAAACATTGGTTAGCTCAGAGGGCTGGGAACTGGACTAATCCTTTTACCTCTGTGCATCCTGTTCTGGCTGTTTACTGACCCAGAACTGCTACCCTTGGAAAGCTTTTGGGGAAGCTATGTGAAATGTTTTGTCGGTGATGATCCAACCCCTACCAGGCAGCAGCAGGTTCATGCCCTGTGCTCTGGCCACTCTGCAGCCCTGCATCCCACAGGGTCTCCACACAGAGCCATGCTCATTTACTCTGAGGTCAAACTAACTTCTAGTTTATCACTGAGGAAACAGAAAGGACTAGCAATAAATCCATGCATGTGATATTTACGGATCCATCAAATATGATTTGAGATACAGGATATATCCTCTCAGATATGTTTAATTGATCACATCATGGGCCTTAGCTGATGTATGTAGCATTTGGGACATAATTTCTTTCCACAGTGGCATGTTCTGCAGCTCTCTTCTCTTCCTTTTCCAGAATGGAGTTAGTGGGTTTTAGCTGCAGTTTCACCGTATGAATGTAAATAGGCATTTGAGTTGACAAATCTCAGGGGCTGTACTTCAGTGCTCCGTAACAGCCACTCCAAGCTCCTTTAACATGAAAGACTATTTACAGAATGAAACACGTTGTGTTGTGAAATATTAGTTTCTTATTGCTTCTAGTAAAGAGCAAAGTAAGTAGAAACACAAGGTGGTTGATGGATTTTTTATAAGAAAGGCAATGTATGTGTATGTTGTTCTCTATTAGATTCCACAGAAATCAATCTGAAATCTAGTTCAGCCTAGTAAAATTAGATCTAAAACTATTTAATTTTGTTGCAAGACTGCTCTTCTCTCCTGATGCCTTGCTTGAGGACACATAGAGATAAAAACTCTTGAGTTATTACCAGTTTATGTGCATCTCCATCTGCCTGTGGAGTGTACTATATTACATATTTTCTAAGTGATCTGGCTGTGGCTTGGAGATGGCAGTTTAAAAATCATGTCTTCACAAGCTTCTTATGCTATTGGAACCTTCATTTTGGAAATATTTTTATTTTGCATTCTATAAACTGTGACAGGCTTTTTCTCCCTCTTTTTTTCTTTCCCTTTTTTGGGATGTCATCACTTTAGAAAACAGGAGAAGTACAAGAGAGAATAATTGCATAAAAACCGTCAGTGCTCAGCTCTGTGTGCTGAAGTCTTGTAATCCAGACCATAAAAATGGCCAGTGGATTTATTAAGCATGTAATAAATCTGCATGATTAACACTACTTCTGACTATTTGATTGTATGCCAGCTGCATATCAAACAGTGTTATCAAAGAGCATCTGTCTACACATTTAAGGCAAACTAAAGAGCTTCTTCAGTCACATAGGAAACTAGTTCGGCCAGTATTAAGGTGAACAGGCTAATTTCTCATTAGGCTATGTCTACATACAAGTCTGCACCACTTAAGGAGACTTAGCTAAACCAGGACAGAAAACTGTATGAAAATGCTTGAATTCCTTTAAGAGACATTTGCCCATCACTAACCTAAACTCATTAACTAAATTATGACTATGCAAAACACGAGTGGTCTATGTCAAAGTAAGAGTATCAAAGTTAGCAAAGATATTTAAAAGGATGCCTGGAAGCAGTGAAGCTGAGGTCTGGGGAAACAAAGCAACTGCCTGTGTAGGCAGGACTACAGAGTGCATCTCAGGACTGTGCACGCAGAAGGACATGGAGGATGCGAAGCTCTGTGCTGCGCTACCTGAGTTTGAAAGGTTTTGTCACCTTCTGAAACCAGCAGTCCACTTGGATGCATAAAGCCTAAGGTGGGGCTGAGCTTTTAAAGCCAAACTTCAGTTCTCCAAACTCTAAGTCTCCAAGTTCAGCCATCATTTTCTGTAAGGGGGGGCTGAACAACCCTAGGAGGGACTGATCTCACTTTACCTTCAGAGAGGAGACACTGGCATGAACGTATGCAGGTAAATGCCTACTGAGATAAGTACAATAAATCCCTCCTAGAAGGTGCCTATTAATTTTATTCAGGACCTGGACTACTGATTTAGACTAAAAGATTAACTAACTTGTAGATGTCCAAAGTTAGAAGACATGATTTCTACCCTATCTTGCCAGGAAGTCTTGACCTCTGATCTGGTGGGTGTTATCACTGCCTGTGGCTGGGTGACGTGGTGCAGAGGGAGACGGGAGATGCCCTGCTTCCCTGAGCAGCACAGCCCCAGCAAGAAGGCTCTGCTGTTGACAGGTTTTC